GGGAGGCTGAGGCAAGAGAATCGTCTAAACCCAGGAGCTGGAGGTTGCTGTGACGCCACAGCACTCTGCCATAAATTGAGACTCTGTCTCCAAAAACAAACAACAACAACAAAAGTTGAATAAATGCCGTATTAGAATTTTTTCCCCTGCAGAGCTCACCACAGTACAATTTATATTTCTCAGTTTTTGAGATGGGTTTTTGCTTTGGCAAACGATGCTGCAGCGGACCTCTTCTGCCTCTAGCCTTTCTCTCCGTTTGGATGACGCACCAGTCTGCTTTTCAAAGCAAGTTCACTGAACCAAAGGATGTGAATTTTTTTTCTTCACAATTTACCTTAAAAAATTGTGCACACTGGTGGGTTTTTTTGTAGTCAGGAGGCTCATAAGAATTGAAATAGTAATTATAAAACCTCGATCATTCGTCTAGGTTCTCTTCCAAGTTCTCTGACTAAGGTAAAGTCTTCCGCTCCCGTGCCTCAGTTTCCCCCAAAATCACAGGCGCAACCTAACGCATTTCCTGCCTGGGCGTGGGGTGGGGCGCAAAGCTCTGCTTTCCCACAGCTCTGAGTCTTGCGTGCTCGCCGTTTTGATTGGCAGTCAGCCTGACCAATCATCGTGTTGCGGTGGAGTGTGGGGGCGGCCCTTCTGGACACACACGCGCACTTGTCATCGCTCGGGAAATGGGTGGCTGCGTTGTCTTGGGTCGGGTTTGGAGTGGCTCGTGGTGGGGGTTGAGGGTCTGCGCAGCGCCCAGGAACGCAGGCTTTGCCACCGAGGCCCGGTGATTAAGCCCTTTCTCCTTCCTGTGGGAGGGAAGCTAGGGCAGGGAGAGGAGATGTGCGGGAACTGGATTAGGTAGATAAATTATTATCCTGGCTCTGCTGTGTGACTTTAAACTAAGTCCCTTGGCCTCTCTGAGCCTCAGTTCTCTCCGCTGTAAAGTGGGGCCAGTCGTACCTGAGTTTGAAGACGCTCAGCCAGGACATTAGGAGGCAGCAGGATTTGGGAAGAGGTGTGCAGAGAAAGGAATGGACAGCGCCTCGGGAAACGAATGATTCTCTTGTTGCTTTGCCCACCTTTTCCAGGCATCAGCTGCGACCTAGAGGCTCCAGCAAACGGTTAGGGCCTCTCGGGGACCAGTCCTTCCTGGGCCTGTTACGGACAAAGAATCTCAGTCGGGAGAAGTTGGTCGATGTGCTGAGGGCAGCCGTGGTGGAACAGAAAGGTGAGGGGTGTGACAGACAGCTGCACAGAGACCTGGGAGGGTAGTCTGCCGCAGGGATATTGGCTGGGCGCTCCATTAAAGCCCTCGGGATCAAATCCTGGGTCTGCCTTCCACTAGCAACATGAGCTGGGATGAGCCATATAGGACTTGTACCAGCAGCCCAGCGGTAGGATTGGGGAAGGAGGAGAGAGTACATAACTGGAGAGCCTTGCATATAATAGGTGCTCAGTAATAGGGATTGGTATAATAGTAAATTATTGTTTATTGATGGACAAAGCATAGGCTTTGGAGTCAGACACATTTAGGCTGCGTAATCAGCTTGCTTTATGACTTTGGGATAACAATTTCTCTGAACCTTAGTCTCCATTCAGGAGTTTATTCATGTTCTCAACTATTTGTTGAACATGTGCTATGTTCTTGGCACTGTTTTAGGCAGCCTCTGCAGTGCTGAAAAAGACAACTATGGACCCAAGGAAGTCAACATTCAAGTGGGAGAAATGAATTAATCAGAAAATAAGCCAGTGAGGTGGCTCAGGCCTATAATCCTAGCAGTCTGGGAGGCCAAGGTGGATGGATTGTTTGAGCTCATGAGTTCAAGACCAGCCTGAGCAAAATCAAGATCCTTGGGTGGTACCTGTGGCTCAAGGAGTAGGATGGTAGCGGGTTCAAGCCCAGCCCTGGCCAAAAACTGCAAACCCCCC